ACCAAGAAAAACATTTAAGTCACAAAGTACAGCGTGTGTTTTGAAAGAACAAGTTTTATTCTAGGAAGAATAATTTTTTTCAAACACTGTTTTATAATAAGTTCATTATCTTCATAAATTTAGTTTTACATGAAAAGCATTTATTTTGTTGAGGAAAGTCTACATTTTCTTAAATCTCTACAAATACTGTTAATGATTCAAATAATTTTTTATTTGTTAAAACTTACTTTACTATATGTCACAGCCTGCTTGCTTTTTAAGAAAGATTTAAAATGGCTGCTTTATCTTTGGATATTTTATCTTTGTAATTAATTATTAATAAGTACTCTTATAGTCATATGTTCAGTATGCAAATTCGCATACAATTTATAATTATTTGTAATTCGTATTAAATCACCTATTTTTTGTGAAATAAGTTTTGAACCCCTGACTTTTTAAATATGCTTTTATTTTGCACCACTTCAATCAATAAACTTTAATGTTTTTTATTATTCTCATTCTTGCCATGACTGCATTCTTTATTGTTGTTTTTGATTACTTAAATTCTCATCATTAAAAATGGCTTTTGTCCTTGAAAACTTTTTTTTTTAATCTAGTCTCACTTGAGATCATCTTTTTTATTTGAAGCTTCTTTTTTTAGTCAAAATTGTTTTTTTTGATTTTTTTCACTCTCCTTAAAACAAACTTTTTTTTTTTATTATTGTAAGAAATTAATATGTAAAGGTATTGTCTAACCAATAAGTTTTTTATCATTGTAAAAAATTAATGTGTAAAGGTATTGTCTAACCAATAAGTTTTTTATCATTGTAAGAAATTAATGTGTAAAGGTATTGTCTAACCAATAAGTTTTTTATCATTGTAAGAAATTAATGTGTAAAGGTATTGTCTAACCAATAAGTTTTTTATCATTGTAAGAAATTAATGTGTAAAGGTCTAACCAATAAGTTTTTTATCATTGTAAGAAATTCTAAAGGTCTAACCGATAATTTTATGATTGTAAGAAATTAATGTGTAAAGGTATTGTCTAACCAATAAGTTTATTATCATTGTAAGAAATTAATGTGTAAAGGTATTGTCTAACCAATAAGTTTTTTATCATTGTAAGAAATGTGTAAAGGTATTGTCTAACCAATAAGTTTTTTATTATTGTAAGAAATGTGTAAAGGTCTAACCAATAAGTTTATTACTCTCAGTTATTAAATCTTGTATTTCATATCAGAAGTTAGGTTTTTAGAAAATCTTACATAGTTTCATTAACTTTATTTCATCTATGAAAGTTTCTAAAGTTCACATTCCTATTTTCAATTCCAACACTTTCACTGTATTAAATAGATGATTGATGGGCAAAACATTTTTCTTCATTTTTAGTAACTTCTGAGCTAATACAAAATTTTATCATGGTCTTAAATTTTTTTGTATCTTTTTTTCATATAATTTTTCTGACTATCTTTACATCTATCTTACTGATTTTTCTGGCAATCTCTAAAGTGGAAAAAAGTTTTTAATGATGCATCTATATGCATCTTAATCTTTTTAAAAAACCTTTGTTGCTTTGGTTGCTTATTTGTTAAAAAACTAAACTTATTAATTGCTTAGAACAACAAACATTTGATTTTTGATATCTCACCTATTTGACTTCTTGTCAAAATATCTTTTTCTACTGATCTCCTTCAACAATAACATATCAAATCTATTCTAAAGTTAGCACTTACTTAGTTTATCTCTCTACAAGCTTCATTTTTTTATTCTCCTGAATCCATTCTCTGTCTGTATAAATCTCAACTGTTTTCTTTTTCTTTAATTTTCTTTGCTACTTCCTAACTTCCAACATAAATAGTGGTTTCCTAACTCTTGTCATAAATAGCACCTGCTAATTTTTATTTTTTATTTTTATATAAATATATTTTTTTGTTAGTCACATACCAATTGAATATATTTGGCTGATGCTGAAAACTAAAAAAGGTCGATACTGATGCTTTTATTTTTTTACCAATTACTTAACCAATTATAAGTCATATAATTATCAATAATACAAAACTAAATATTACAGGTCAGGTCAGGAACAAGATCATCATGATCACCCAGCTACTGGTAACATGTAACCTAGTAGATATCTTGCTGTCTTGTATCTGTGACTTAAAATACACCCTACCTGGGGTTATTAGTTAATTTTTAGATAGAGATGGTGGCAGGACAAAAACATTCTTGGGCAGATGTAAATATCCAGCTACTGCTTTATAGAAAACTTCCTGGGCAAAAACTTTAGGGGTAAGCAAAAAAAATTATGTAAGACAGCACCCCTTTTCATAAATAGACTGACATAGGTTTAGACCTGCATTACATTGTTTTCTGCTTAGGGTGATGAACGCTGAATCATCTACACTTCTGGGTTGTTTCTCATCTATATTAATGATCTTCCTAAAAAATCTTAGATTTTTTTAGTGACTCTGTACTTCCATGGTGAATCTTGCAAGCCTCCTTCTCCACAGCCGTCCACATAAAAAAAGTCTAATGGGTTCAGATCTGGGCTAGATGGAAGCCACTTTAATTTGTCCCATTACTGACTCAAACATCCTGCTAAAACACATACTGACCATCTGAATAGTTTCTGTTTAACCAGGGAATGACCTTCTCTTGCATTAAATTTATGCATAGATTTACTATTTATTAAATACTAGCAAGTATTTATGTATTTTTAAAAACTAATTCATTCTCAAAAAGTTTGCAAGTAACCACTACTTAGTTATGGGTTACTAGAAAATAAGGAATAGGGTTAAAGAGCAAGAAAATGGTTAGTTGAAGACTTAAAAAATTGCATAAGTTAAGAAACATGATGGTGGGCGAGAGTTATGGCATTTTGTTGATGTGCAAGGAAAAAAACTGGATTGATAAAATTTTTATAGTATAAAAGGGTAGATACAGTAAAAGAATGCAACTTGCTGAATAAGAAGCCAGGCGAGAATAAGTTTTTGTTGATCGAACAGAGATCATAACTTATTTGAGCATTGACCATGATAGTATTTTTAGATAAATGATAGTATTAGTGGATTCTATGTCCAGACTTAAAATCCACAAGCCACTGAAAACCCCAAGCTGGGGCTTTTGGTGGCTTAGAATTTTATGAAGATGGTTAATGCAGATAAGAAACAATACTGAAACGAAGATAGAACCTTGCAATACCCTTATAATTACTCAAAATAAAGAAAAGTGTAGGCCTTTAAGAATAACTTTAAAACTGCAGTTAAAAAGAAATGATTTAATAATTTCAAAACTTTTATATCAAGAAACTAATAATAGATTGGAGACTAATTGTCGGATAGTTATTGATACCGTTATTGATAATTAAAACTGATACTACTTATTTAGCATTTGGCATATGATACCACTTATTTAGCATTTAGCATATGATAGTTATTGATAATTGTATGATAGTTATTGATAGTTATTGATCATTAAAATTGATACCACTTATTTAGCATTTTTTTAAAGTTTAGTAAAAATTGACGAGATTTCTGGAGAACACTTTTTTAAGACTATGATAGAAATGTATGAATCATGAACTGTAGAAGTGTTTAATTGAGAATTAAATTTAGCATTGAAAGCCAGGGTGATTTGGCTGTTTAACAATGATTTATTCTTTTTAACTGGAATGATAGAAAGAGTATGGCCATTAGATTCAAGTTTCAAATTAGAGGAGAATCCAAATAACTCTGTTCTATTTTGCGGAGAAGTTAAAAGTTAAGACCCATGAATTAGAGATTATAATAAAATTATGTGAATAATAAAATTATTTTTAGAGACTTACCTCTAATTTTAATGACATTGTTAAAGACTTTTCAATAACCTATAACCTAATAGATACAAGATTTAATAAACTGAGAATAACAGAGCTTAACATAAACAAGATCTTTTTACATTTGTTTCTTGAAATAATAAAAAGAAATTTGTTCTCAAGAGAGATGTTCTTGTAAAGAAGATGAAAAAAATATTTACAGTTTAATAAAACAACTGCTTTTAATGGTGAAAAATGTGAAGTAGAATAAAGCTTAAAGTTAAAGAAAAGGAGTAAAAGTTTCCAAGCATTTATGGATATAGACATATGCTTGCTATGGATATAAACATATATGTAATTTATTTAAATGTTGTGCAATATCCTGAAGCATGATAAGATGGATGTGTGGGATGACTCTAACGTTCTCTTAACGTTCAAAAATTATGTCCATATAAAATTTGTAACCCCCTCAAATTCAGGGGGGTTAAAACTTTATATTGTCATCATTTTTGAACGCTAAAATATTTTACTATGAAATTTAAAAATTATCGATTAATATTAGTCTAATCAAGAATAGTGCAAAAATATTTTATCAACTGGTTGCTCTCATGTTTGGGACTGGTAGGGCACAAATTTAGGGGCTTTTTTGTTCCCAGGCTCCAATCATCACAATTTTTTGCAAAGCATCCTTATTTGACATAATTATAAACATATAAATGTTTGGAGTTAGCACAATGTCTGGAAGTTAGCTATTTCTATTGCCAAAAAACAGCACCGTCGGCCTTGTAATGATGATGATGATGATATTGATGATGATCATTTTGATTATGATAATGTTTATATACGCATATATATATAAAATATAACATAAATTTAAATATATATATATATATATACTTTAGGATGTGATTATGTTAATACAGTCATAGTCATAAAAAAGCCTATTATATAGTAGTATTGTGTTGAAGTCATCCTCATTAATGTTGTTTTTAAACATGGGCAATGAACATCTGATTTTTTGATTCTGAAGTTAGCGCTTTAAACTCTGCGCCATGGCTGCTATAATACCATAGTATTTTTGCAAACTTAATATAGTTTTAATTGCAACTAAAAATAAAAACTAAAAAAAACAACAACCTTTAACTAGAAAAAGTTGATTATACTTTAAACTTTTCTTGAAAACTGAATGTTAAATGAATAAAAGTAATTCAAAACTTCTTTTGTTTAGATTTTTTTAAACGGTGGTGAAAGTCAGTATGTTCCTTTTGACGTTGTGACCAAAGCAAAAAATTTTAGAATATTATTAACATCTAAGATTATTATCAAGTATAACTTTTATGGAACTGAAAGTGAGTATTTGTTTTTAAATTTATATATTTAAGTATTCCTAAAATTGTATATATTTTTTTAAATTTATATATTTAAATATTTCTAAAGTTTTTTGTTCAGAATTTGTCAAGTTGATGCAAATAAAAAACTTAAAGCCTCACCTTATTTTAGAAACCTATCAGTTATTAGGTTATTAAAACCATGGTTTACAGCAGAACTCATTTTTAAAATGATTTTTATATTGATTAAGACAAGTAAAATAAAAATTGTATAAAGTAAAAGTTATGTTAATGAAAAAAAAAAGAATGTTTAATTTAAATGTTTTTGATGTAAATGAATAAAGCATTTATTTTATTATTTAGTTACTGTTTTTTTTTTTTTAGTTACTCTGTTTGAACCAAAATTATTTACTTAAACAACTTGTTAGTTTAAAATCATAAAATGGTAAATGGCTCTTATTCATGAAAAAGAATTATACTATATACTTTGAGGTGCTTTTTATGGTCTTAAAATGTTAATTATTGATTAAATGCAGAATCACATTGAATCCTATTCCCCCAAAAAACAAATTGTTCTAATTTGAGTTAATTAAATACTTTATTTACAAAAACTTATAAGTGTTTGTAAATAAAGTATTTAAGTATGAAGCCCAAAAAATTATTAAAATGTCATTTAAAAAAATCTTTGCTTATGTTATTAACAAAGTTTAATATTCTATTACAGTCTTTAATATATGGGTTTGATTTTATTACTTTTCCCAAGGAAAAGGCAGAACTTTTTTCAAAGAACGTTTCTTTTAATTTTCTTGAATCTAATGTCCAAACCTTTTCATTTGTTTCAATTCTTTCTAAACTATTTATCTAGTGTATGTTTAAATCTGCCTTTAAAAAATGTTATCTGTGATCAAAGATAAAACATGATGTGATTGTGATGTGAAACATTTTTAGTATGGATACATTTTTAGTATGGATATTAAATGTGATAAGCCCAATAAATTATTCACAAGTTGAGCTACTAAGACATCAACTATAACCAGGTAAAAATTGAAAAAAATTTTTTTTTAGGTCTTGGTGTATGTGCTAAGACACATACACCAAGACCTAAAAGATTATAAAGAGTAATTTAAAAAAACATTCTTGTTTGTGGTGAATGATGAGAGGAATTTAATAGGTAGATTGAAAAGGTTGGTTTGTAAAATTTTAGACAAAAGTTATTTTCATTGTGTTTATCTACTAACATACTTTTTATTATTGTACTAAATGTTGTGACATTTAAACAGATTAAATAAGGTTTATTTAGAAAGAAGTATCCAGTAGTTCTGCACAATAATAATCAATAATAATGCACAATACACATCACAAAACCTTATCTATAGAGAATGCTGAAGCTTTCAACAAGTAAAAGCAATTGTTAGCACATTGAAGGAGATTTCTCACTGGTTCATTGAGCATATTGTTACTAGTCATGAAGTCATGGAGCATGATCACTATTATTTCTTATACTTTTATTTTTGTTATTGCATTTTATTATTTTTATTGTTTTTATCGCATATTGTTACATGTGTATTGCTTTAAAAGACTTAAGTATAATTTGTTAGAATTAAAAAAACAAAAATAGTTAATAAAACTTAATTTTTCTAATTATCTGTACTCAGTAATTACCTGGACTAAGATACTGTGCAACAAATAACTGGAACTATTATACTGCAACATATTATGTCCCAGTATATTAGTTCCAGTTAATAATAGAGTTACGTTGCATACCCAAATATTAGGTGCCTAATACTTTTTCATATTAAAAAGATTCTATTACTAAAATAAAGCTAATTAAAACTTGAGTGAATAAGTTCAATACTTTTAAAATTGTTTATGTATTATGTAATTTAAATTTAAATGAACAAATTTTTATTACTGTTTATTTAAAAAGATTTCATTTAAGTTTTAAATGTTAAAATAATGTTTAAATAAGCTTCTATTACTTTCACTTTGATTAAGTTGTATTTTAGATAACTATAAAAAATGAATTTCATTTTTAAATTTTTTTTAGTTAAAAATATAAAATTCAAGTAGCTTTTAAAAAACCACTAAAGCTCTTTAGTTCTTTGTTTTTGTTGTATTTTTTGTTGTATTATTAAACTGGTCATTTGAACATATTGAATTTATTTTAAAATAATTTTGTCAAAACATTTTAATTTTTTCACTTTAAAAAAACAAAAATGTAACAATAAATAATCATTTTTATGCTTTTTTTATTATTGCAAAATTAGGTTATACTTATTAAAGCAATATTTTATTTTTAATGTTTTTTATTATTTTTGTAGGGGAGAGTATGCACCCATGATCCTAAAAATCTATCAAGCCAACTTACTGAATATATGTTTTTATTTCGATCTCTAAAATAACAGTACATAATAGTAAATTTTATACCTTATTATAATTCAAAAATCATTTTTTTACCAAAATATTTTAGGTAGATTTGAAATTATAAAAACTAAGAATGCTCAATTGGGATTATAGGTGCAAACCAGTATGCTCCCTTGATCCTACCTATATGCACCTTTGATCCTATGTATGTATACTTGATTCAAGATCAAATTTATACCATAAATGTATAAGAATAATTTTTAAGTCGTCAAAGCAATGTCTATAATAAAAACCAATAAAGTTATTATAAATTTTACTACAAATTTATCTTTCTTAAAAAATAAAAAAATCAATGAAAAAAATGTTATTCTTTACTGAGACTCAACGTTTTTTTTTTTCATTACTTTCAAGATCAAGTTTTCTTTTCCTTGTCATGAATATCTTATTTTGGGTTTCATTTTTTTTTTCTTTTTTAACTGATTTTTTTCTTATTTCCTGGAGCTTATTTAACTCATTTCGAACAGGAGTGTCTGTGAGTATTCGAATACGCTGACGTTTACGTCTTTTAATGGATTTCCTTGATCCAGCTTTTTGGAAATGACCTAATTTTTTCTAGACTTGCTTGATGAGAGATATTATTAGAAACACTGGATAGTTGACTTTTAGGGTCAGATATAGGCTGAAAAGGCAATACACTACAAGCTGAACCAGATGAGAGACTTGACATCAATGATTGATTAAAAGCTTGGGCATGAACAATAGCAGAAACTAGATCAACAACACCTGGAAATGGGTTAGCAGTAATAGGTTCTGGACAGTCGGTTACATATGAAGACAAAAACTCATTATTAAAAAATATGTTAGGATTAAAGGGTTCAATTCTTGTCACAGCAAATCCTGCAGAAATGTTAGACAAAGTAAAAGTATGCACTTTTACTTTGTCTAACATTTCTGCAGGATTTGCTGTGGCAAGAATTGAACCCTTTAATCCTAACATATTTTCTAATAATGAGTTTTTGTCTTCATATGTAACCTTTTGTAAATATGTAAATCTTTTTTTTAGCAATTACTTTAACTGGTTTTTGAACAGTTGTGAGACCTGTCTCATCATCATTATATATGTTTTGTGGCTGAAACTTGTGTCATAGACAAACATCTGTTAGATTGATGAAAAATTCTTTGCAGTTGCTTGTGCCATACTAGTAGCTTCTGGATTTCGTAAAGATAACTCATTCCTACGTAACATAAAACCACAATGCCACTGTTTCCCAGCAATTTGTAAACTTTTCCATGATTTAGGAATGCACTTAGAAAGAGTCATTGCAAATTCATAGGCAAGTTTTTGTGTTGTTTTGGTTGACAATCCATAGTGAAGTTTTGAGGCCCTTAAAAGATAATCTGATAAAGATGTTTCTTCTTCGTTGGTAAAGATTTGCATAATAATGAAGTTAGGTTTGCAGACTGTATTTGGATTTAATTGACATTTCCTTACATATCTCTTAAGTGTCATTAAATTGATTCCCCTCCCTTTTTCGATACACGATAAACTGCACCACTATTAAGAACTGCATTAACTGCTGCTCGCATTTCATTCACATTAATTTTACCTCTAGGTAATCTATCGGTTTTTCTTTTTTTATGATACACCATATTTAACTGTTAAAAAATAAAACATATTTATATAGTTTTGCTATATTCCTAATTTTTGGATAAACATTTATAACTTATAAAAATCTTCTTTATTAACAAACACACACAGATATATATGTGTATATATATATATATATATATATATATATATATATATATATATATATATATATATATATATATATATATATATATATATATATATATATATATATATATATATTTAGAACTACAGACATGAAAAAAAGTTTTTTAGAATTTTTATAAACATTTGAAACATATGTTCTATAGAAATTCTATAGAATCTCTGTTAATTTGTATAGAAATTCCTATAGAACTTTTTTTTGCTACTTTTTTTCTATAGAAAAATAGTTTAATAGCAATTTCTATAGAAATTAATAGACATTCCATAGAAATTCTATAGAATTTTTATAGACCATATGTTTCAAAAGCTTATAGAAATTCTATAGAGGCTTTTTTCCTGGGCAGGCGATAGCCTGCCATATATATATATATATGTATATATATATATATATATATATATATATATATATATATATATATATATATACATATATATGTATATACATATACATGTGTTATACTTATACATGTAAATTCATATACATGTATATACATATACATATACATATATACATATGAATTAGGGTTAGTTATATACTATATATATATGATATGTATTTCATTTTATTTTATATATTTTATAATTTTAAATGTGTAGCGATTTTTTTTAAATTTAAAAGTAATATTTTTTATAATTAAAAACGTTAATGAGAAATGGAAAAAAGAAGGCTGGAGAATGGGAGGAAGTAACTGAAGTTTCAATTGAACTTCAAATTTGAACTTGAAATTCATATCAAAAACTTGTTTCTCCACACAGCGGCCTTGTTTACAAAGGTTCATGTTTCGAAGTTAAAGAGTTGAGGGAGGGTTGTATTCAAAACAAGGTAGCTTCCTTGACTGTAGTGGCCCTCTCAGCCTTGGAAGGTGAATAGCATAAAAGATAAAAAAGTGACAATCTGTAAAATCTTTGTCTTGTTCTCTAAAATCTCTAAAAAATGTTAGACAAAAAAACTATTTTTTTATATGTTTGTAGCAATCGATTACATTCGTTTGTGCTTTTTATGCAAAAAGTCTGTGTTTTACAAAAAAAACTAATTTTTTTAAATTTTTTATAATATAGGTTATTATACTTATATTATAAAAAATTATATATATATATTTTTTTTATTTCCAAAAAAAAAGTAGTATTGTTTTATTTATTTGTGTTATTCACTTCCCCAAGGTTGAGAGGGCCACTACAGTAAAGTAAGCTACTTTATTGCAATTACAACCCTCTCTCAACTCTTCAACTCCGAAACACAAACCTTGATAAACAAGGTGATTCTGCGTGGAGAAAAAGTGTTGCATTATCAGCAATATATAAAATTCCCATTTGTTATTTTTTTGATAAATTAATTTAAAATGTGTAATTTGTGTAATGTGTAATTAAATGTGTAATTGAATTTTTTTTTTTTTTTTTTTTTTGAGTTTTTAAATTAACTAATAAATATGATTTAACAAAGTTTATTTGTTATATTTATGGAAACTGTTTCATTTGTTGAATAATAACATTTTATTGATAATTATTGATGGTTTTTTATTAAGTTTATTTTGAGGAAATTTTTCTCTAATGTTATATTTATTGAGAAATATGTATGTTTATATGTTGCTTTTTAATTATTTTATCTTACCTACCTATTTTATCTGCCTTCCCAAGCCACAAAGGCCACTAAGTTTTAGGAGGCTACTTTAATTGTGGTTAGCACCCTCTCCCTACTCTATGGCTCTGTAACAGGAGCAGAGAAACAAGTTGAGCGTGGTACTACCAGGGATGTGGTGGGAATCAAACTCAGAACTTCTCATTTATGAGGTGAGAGGTCTACCACTACACTACTACCACTTTTTATGTACATAATTTATTTATATATGTATGTATGTATTATGTTTAGATACATATTCGACATCTCCAATAATATCTGCTGGTTTAGGTGGATATCAAACAGCTACTCATGGTAATGGGTTTCAAATTCATTTAACTGATAATAACATAACTGCTACAGTGGTAACAGTTTATGGAAAGTATAAAGTTTCAATGACCAATCCTTTATCAGCTCCTTACACTCTTACTCTTGTCTGGTCTGTAGTCAATGATACTTTATATTTGTATTATAATGACACCTTAATAGATACCGGAGGAATTAGTGCAGGAACAAATTTTTCAAATTTTATGTTTAATGAGTATCTTCTTGTATTTGCTGATTATTATAATCTTAAGTCTGACATTCAAACAAGTCTTTCAAAGATTTCAATATGGCGTATACCTTTATCAGTAGATGAAGTTTCTCAAATTGTTTATAAAGCCCCTCTTGGTATGTTTTTAATTTGTTAAAAAATAAAGTAAAAATTATTTGATTAAAACTATAAAAATATGTTAAAAAAATATATATTTATCATTATAGTAATTAAATGAAAAATATTTTTTTTTTTTTTTTGTATTTAAAAAGCGTACTCATTATAAACAGCACAATATTTAAGCATAAAATGTTTAATTTTTATTATTTAACTTAAGGCTTTAAAACTAATAATATAAATAATATAAATAATCAAAAGAATCAAAATAACTCACTAGTAAAAAGCATAAAATAAAAATAATAAAAGGGAGAATCAAAATAATAACTGTATACCTTTATTTTTTTAGCTGAGTATAGCTATACAAACATCATATCGCCAGACTTTTTTTATGGTTCAAATTGTAATTGCATTAATGGAGAATGTCCTTGTGAAACTCTTGGTATTTATTCCCTATTTAAAATATTCTTAACTTTTTTTGAAAGATATAAGAAACAAAAGGATCTTAAGTTTTTGTTATTTTCATTTTTGTTTTATTTGATTTGTATTTGATCATATAAACTCACTTTTATTTTTATTGTTTTGTTTTAGATATGACTGCAACAGTGGAGTATATAAGTAGGATGATAACATATTTTGAGGTTTTTGAAGATGATTATTTAGAAGATGATCAATTCTATGATAGCATAGTTGAAACAAACAATAACTACACATACATTTATTTTGATGATATTGCTTTGAATTTTAATAGTACATATTTGCTTAAAGTTTCTTTGAATGTCAACTTACTGTTTTCTAATACAGATGATACCATCAACCTTCAGATATCCAACAGTTCAAACAGTAAATTTTTAGAATTAACTAAATTGAACATTTTTAAAGAAGATAATAGCATTTATATCACAAGTCCTGATCTGACTGAACTATTAAGAATATTCTCTAGTACAGCAACCCCTCTAACAGTTGCTTTTAGAATAAATAATTTAAATATTCAGCCAAAATGTTATTTGAGAATAAAGTATAAAATACCACAACCAGGTGGGAAAATATTTTGTGTGTGTGTTTTTTTATCATGGTTTGTTGTTTTGGGTTTTAGTAAATCTTTTTTTTTTTTCAATGTTTTATTATCATTAATTATAAGTTTAACTTTTAAGGTGGTTTTATTCATGCAAATGCTATGCAGAGCAGCATAGAAGATAGGTTTACTAAAATTAATTTTAATGTTATTGGAAAATGTGTTTCTTTCGAATTTAAATTTGGAGGACCTGGGTTTTCAAGTCTTGCTATTTTTGGTAATAAAGATTTTATAAAGACAAGATTGGGATACTATTATCGTCAAGAAGCACAAGATAAATGGATAAAAGTTGATCTTGATTTAAGTTCTAAAAAGTTTCAAACAGTAATCATTTTTTGTTGTTGTTATTAATTATTATTAAATTTAGAGAAATATTATAAAATAGTCTAAAGAAATTTATTGGCTAGTCTCCTATAAAACCCAAAGTAATGCTTTTTGCAAACTCTGGCCTAAAACTTAAATTTTGTTAAAAATGTATTTTAATAAATTACTGGAAGTTTTGATAAATTACTGGTGACAAGTTACTTGAAACATAATTAAAATCTAATTAGAAATATAAATAACATTAATTAAAAATAAAATAAATAATAAAAATGATATACCGTAAAATCACCTAAGTTTGCTCACTTAAGCTTTGAACATTTATTTATGGCGCATAAATACAAAGTTTTTTATTTTTTTTCTTGAAACATACAGAAAATTATATTGATAATTGATATTGTAAAAATAAAAAAGTTAAAAATAAAAACTAGTACTCAATATTTAATTCAAAATGAAAACATCTACTTTGACCAAACTTTCATTACTATCTCATAAATTGAGCCGCTATATAAATACTAATAACGTATCACAAACTTAACTTCACAAATAATGAAAACTAATTTTTAAATGTTGTTTTATTGTAAAATTATGATATAAATTCAGGTAATACCAATAACTAAGGAGGGCGTCGCCCTTTCTTTTTGGGGCACTAAAGAAAACAAGAAGGAGCACATAAAAAAAGGCCTTTGAAATATAAAAAGTAGTATTTTTAATTTTTGTTGTAATTAGTCAACTATTTTATTACTTTGGTTATTATCACATTTGCTATGCCACTGGTTAATAAAATTAAAGGTATATTTTTCAATTAATATAAAAAGGTTTCAATTAAAAAAAAAACACTACTTTGCTTTAAATGAGCTTTGTATGTTTATTGGTAATTCTTGCAGGTATCGTTGAACATAGTAGAACAACAAGATCCATACAACCAATTGTCACAGGATTTGCAATGCATCCATAATTGTTGTTGAACTGTAATTTTATCTCCAAAAAAATGTCACTAGCTTGATATTTTTTAGAACTCAAAGAACTGTCAGTTAATTTTAAAATTATTAACAAATTTTTAAAAAAAAAATAAAATACCATGGTGTGTATTCATTATAAAAATGTCAAAATTTACTAGTAAATTTATAGGTAAAGTTACCGGTAAATTTTACATTCGCAACACTTATCAGCATTTCACAATATTACTGCTAATTGTCTCTATTGTTGTTTATCTGCAAATGATCGTAGTTAGAGTATTTCAAAATTTCACTAATTTTTATTAAAAAAATAGTTAATTTTCAAAAATTCATAATTTTTTTTTTGTAAATATAATTAACTTGGTGATTCTTAATAATACTAAGATTAAATATGATCATTTATTTTGATAATTTACTTATTTTAGATTTTAATAGTATTCATTTTTTCAACTTAAGTGATCATAATAGTCCAAATTTTTTTTTTCAGTTGTTATGTATCCAGATTTTTTCATGATTGTTGTTAAAAATGAAAAAAGATTTCGCAAAAATTATGCAAAAAAAATAAATAAAATAAACAACTAATGTTGAGTTTTATTTTTCAACAAAGTTTTTCGCTCAAAAACCAGTTCATTAACATTAATGTTGCGTTATAATCAATAAATAATGTTGAAAATTCGACTCAACATTTTTTGTTGAGCGGTTTCTCAACATTTCTTTTTTGTGTGTACACCATAATTCTCTAGACACTTGTGTTCTTTCTATTTTTAATGATGCACCTCTTGCTGTTAAAAGTTGAGGTAGTTCTCTGAATGTTTTTAATTTAGCACAATTACAGTTTACAACTACATATTTTGTTTGATGCATTTGTAGTTGACTCTTTTCTTAAAAATTGTACAAACATGAACGCATTCAACCAATGTACACATTTGATAAATGTAAACACAAATACCATCAATTAATAAATGCACAAATGATTTTAATCAATTTACATACAAAAACCTTCAATCAATGTAAACACAAACACATTTGAATAATATAAATGTAGGTTTTATTTCAATTGCTTAAAAGTTTAAATAAAATAATTTTTGATGCTGCTTCTGCGTTTATGTTGCTAAGGTGGAGAAGAATAAAAGTTGTAAGTTTAATGAATAAACTTTTTTTATTTCATTTTCTGAACATTGCACTGATGTGCTATGTTATTTGATTCTTTACATTAGTCAAAAAATAAATTTGTTTTTAATTCATTTGCAACAGACTGTTTTTTTAAATCTATTAAAAAGATTGTAAAATTAAAACAAATTTTATGAAAAAGTTTTAATTTTAATGATCTATTTTTCTTACCTGTTTTGCTAAACTGCTTAATACTTGTATTGTTTGTAACATGCTTTTTATTTTACTCCTTTTCTCAGTATTTTCCATTAGCTCATTATTGACTTTTAAGTTCATAAATATTATCATATATTTTTAATTAATATATTTAATTAATATAGGTTTAAACTATGCTATTTTGATTCTATTCTATCTTTATAACACTGATATTTTAGAATCGTATTTTCTCCTTTTATATTATTTTCTGTCTTTGAAATCAGCATAAATTGTTATATGCTGATTTCAAATACAGGATTTATTGTTAATTTCAATTAAAATCCAACTCTGAACTCTTTAGAGAAAACTTTCGAAACAATAAAAAGCAAATACTAAATACTGCACCCTGACTAAATACTGCACTCCACACCAACCTTTACTTTAAAACACTATCTTTTTTTATATATTTTTTATTGCTGTTTTTTTTTATTGCAATATTTTCATGCATAGTCATTATAACTGTTTTCAGCTTTCTTTAAAAAATAAGTACCTCAAAGCCAAGCACAACATCTTTCTTGGAACTTTGTTATAAGCTTTACAAGGAACTTAAATGCCATCTACTCATCTTTTTTTTTCCAAAAGATTTTCAAGACTTTGCCTTATAACAATTATTCCATTTGTTGCTTTCTTTTCTGGCCTCAAATCAAACTGTATATTGTTGCTAAATAAATTGTTCCTTTATTTGTTGTCAATAGTTCTAAGATTTTTGTAACCTGGTAAAGTAATTTTATTCCTCATTTAATTCTAAATTTAATTGCATATCTCCTTTTTTCCTTTTTTTGACTATCTAACTCTGCTTCCTATCATTTTTTATTTTATCCTTATTTTTATCATGATTACAACATGTATACTTCTTAAATGATTTAACATTTCAGTCAGCACATGAGAAAGATCAGCAGTCTTGCTTTAAAAAGCCTCATAACAGATATGTTGTCAGTAGTTCTAAATTTAAGGTTAGTTAAGTCAAGTTAGTTTTACTATCAGCTTTTTTTTATAATTTTTAGATTCATCATCTAGATGAATCTAAAAATTATAAAAATGATTTTAATAATTTTTTTTCATATACTATGCACATTTCATTTTTACTTGATTTTGGCTTTTATTTAAGTTTTCTTTATATTTTGTTTTCTTTCAATTTTCAAAGCCTTCACATACTAAAAAAAGTTATTTTTTCAGATTTTCATTAATTTTACAATGAACTGTGCTGTTGTAATTGTTGTAGCTTTACTTTTTTTTATTTTCTCATTTCTATCTAATTATGTCATAGTCCCCCTAATTTGTAAAAGTGCTCAGCTAATAAGTTACTTTCTGTTGTCCTTTTTTTTTTTACAAATCATAAATTTTGTAACATCTGAATCTTCTAAAATATTTTTCTTTCATTATTTCTTAGACCAAACTCACTTCCATGTACTCTTAAACCCATCTGCGAATGCACAAGCATACTTTTAAATGTCTCCACATACAATATGGACTCTTAGTGTATTCAACAATTACCAATAACAGTGTATTCAAAAACTACCAATAACAATGTATAATAATAACATCTAATTTTTTTGCATCTAATCCATAATATTTTGTAACAGCCTATCTAACAATCTGCACTGCTTATTTTCCAGTGAGTCTTGTGCAGGGAGCATAAGGTTTAATGACTAGCTTTATTCTACCTTCTATTTCAGTTATCCACTTTCTCTTTGCATAGAACCTACATTGACTGACCCAATCTTAAATCTAGCGCTTTCTGTCATACTGACATTTAATACCTTTGGTGTGATAAGAATGTCAGTTGGTTGGTTAACTAGAGTTATAACCAACCCTGGTTGCTATAACATACTTGCCATTAACCAATTATTTATTTCTGACCAGTGATTCATCTGAGGCCAATATCAAGTGTGTCTATTATAAACCTATTATACCTAAATTAATCTATTGTTAACCTATTATAAATACCTAAATTAAAATTAATTCATTGACCTCTTGAAAGATGCACTTATAACCACCTTTTTATTTTTTTATACAATTATTTATATTGTAACTGCCTTAACTTTTTTCAAAAAAAGTAACAAAATTTAAAAATATTTTGTTTTGTTTTTAAAAAAAGCATTACTTTGCAAAAAAATGGAAAGAGAACAGTGAGATAAAATATATTTTTTCATTACTGTTCTTATGGTGATATTATGATAACATTAAAACATTATTAGGGTGTTGATTGTGGGTGAAAGGGTGTTTGTGGATTGACTGGGAAGAGTTTACCTAATTAATATTTTTCTTTTTTTTAAACATATAGATTGAGTTTGTTGCTTTAAAAAATGGACTCCAAACTGGATACATTGCATTTAGTAGCTTTAAGTTTTTAAAAAACTGTCCTACTGAAGAAACAAATTTAGCAGGTTAATTTATTTATTAGTTTTTTCATGTTATTGTTTGTAAGCATTAAAAAAAATATTATTTAAAATTGATTTAAAGTTTGAATTAAACTAATTTAAACAACTCATAAAGTAAATAACTGTGAGCTTCTTTTAATTTTTTTGATATAACTCTCATTAATAGTATACTGATGATATTAAAAATCAGTATATAAAAAAGAATTTATCCAAAGGGGATTATACATATGCACTGTAAACAACATTGATGATAAGCTGTTTTTTTAATTAATTTGTTTATTAAAAACAAGTATGAATACAAAAATCTTAAAAACTTATTCATATCAATATACAAGATTATGAAATTTTTGCGGCAATTATTATAAAGGTAAAACATGGCTAAAGATCTCACCTGATATATGCCAATATTAAATGAGTTCACATCATTGTAAGAAATTTTTTTCAGCAGTGACTGAGCATTTGAAAACTTTCTCAAATAATTTTAAGTGGAATAGTTTCGATACCATAAACTAAAATGGTTATAATATAAAAATGATTATAATACAAAAATAATTATAATAGAAAATAAAAGTAGCTTTGGAAATGCAAAACCATGAATATACATTTGTAATGGCAGTCCTAATGAAAAAAATTGTTTTTTTCATTAAGACTGCCAAAAGTAGTACCTACAAAAAAAATAGTTAAGGGGAGAGTGGGATATCGTAATGCATGGGGTACCATGGTATCCCACTTAAGATGCCTCCACAATTACACGACATTGTAATTGTGGAGGCATCTTAAGTTGTGACAACCATGTTATATGGTAAAGCAATTACTACTATATCTATGTTTTGACAAAAAAATTATATCATTAGGCCTGCGATGGGTCCAATTTTGTATTTTTTTGATGACAAAGTAATTTATTATTTTAAAGTTGTTAATTAATAAAGTATGTTATTTAGTGTGTTTATCAACATAAAAATTGTTTTGTAAACAACAATCCAACATAAACATTGTTTTCTAAACAGCAATCTTTAAACATTTTTTTTTTTTTTTTTTTGTAAACAACAATTTTTAAGCTTTTTAATTCAATGAAACTAAACTATTGAAAAAACAAGTTGATACTATAAATAAAGAAATTGTTTTCTATTAGCTAATATGATGTAACTTGATACAGCATTGTGGGGGCTATACTATTCTAAAACTGTAGAATAGTACTCCATTGTGTTGTAAACAAATCTAAAAATCATTTCTTTTTATATTTACCTTTAATTTTAGGTTTATGTAAATATAATACTAGAAGATTCAATTTCAGAGCCATTATTTATTGATGATTAAGAATGAAATTTAATAAATAAATTATCTGATTTCTTAAATGTGATTAGGACAATTGGATGCATTACTTGGTTAGTGATTATTAAATTATTTGTCTTTCAAGTTAAAATCTGCCTTTTCTCTAAGTTTTGCACTTTTTATTTATTTTTTTAATTATGCTCATAGTTTTTATCAAGGTACTCCATGGGTGGAATACCTTGATACAGATTTTTAACTTAACTTTAAATAGTCTTACAAGTTTAACCTGTTATATTTTGGTAATAAATGAATCTAATTTTGTAGGTATAAAGTAGTTTTACAAATTAAATCAATTAATTAAAAAAAAAGGCCTATTAAAAAGTTTTCAAGAAACTAAAAATAAAAGCGTATCATGGTGCTTCACTCTTCTCTTTATTATTAATGCATAGTTATATAATCTATTGTTACATTCAATTAGCTTAAAATAAAAAACAAACTGTCAAACCATCTTTATATATATATATATATATATATATATATATATATATATATATATATATATATATATATATATATATATATATATATATATATATATATATATATATATATATATATATATATATATATATATATATATATATATATATATATATATTTATATATATATTTATATATATATATATATATAAATATATATATAAATATATATATATATATATATATATATATATATATATATATATATATATATATATATATATATATATATATATATTTATATATATATTTATATATATATATATATATATATATATATATATATATATATATATATATATATATATATATATATATATATATATATAAATGGAAATAATTATTTAAAGGTTACTGATCAACACTGATCAGTTGAAATGAAAAATATTGAAAAGTAGATAACTAAATTTTTTTACCGGACAACCAAATTTAGTTTTTGTAACTTTTCTAAATTTTGTAACCGTAATACTTTATGAATTACACTGTTTAAGTTTACACAATATTTTACAGGGTCATATTGTTATAAAGCCTGATAATCCACAAAAAAAGGCTGATTTAAAAAAATTAATATTTAAGAAAAATTTTTAATAAAATACAAAACAATTTTTTTTTTGCTATTAACTCTAAATAAATCTTTTCACTTTAGTTAAAAGTAAAGATTTAATATTTTAAAGAGAAAATTTTACTTTTTTCTTTAAAATATTAAATCTTTCCTTTTAACTAATGCACCTGCTAAAAAAAAATAAAACTTTTTTTCTAAGCTGGTGGTGTATATTTTTTAGTTTACTTTTTCCTAGCCGGATTTTTCTTTACCAATAAAAATCCCAATTAAAAAGAGCTATTAGATAGAAATATTATTTTTAATAAAAAACTATTATTTGTTTTGGGTGATTAATGTAATATGAATCATAATAATATTTCTTTATGAAAAGTTAAAAGTTTTACTTTTTTCCTAGCGGGCAATTTCTTATTAAATGAAATTTAATAAGAAATTTCCCAAATAATTGTCTGCCTCTATTTTATGATTAAAATTATTTTATACTTCTATTAACCAATTTTAACACTTAAAATAAAAACTGTTTTATCTTTTGGACATATCATTTCAAAATCAAAAAAAGCTAAAAATTGTAAAGGTCGATTGAATGCATGTTTTTTTCCATATGGTAACAAGACCCAGTAATGGGTTAAACAATTTAAGCAAAAGTAAATAAATTATTTTGCTTAAGTTTTTATGATCGCTATATTTATTATTCGGACTTAAAGAAACATTAACATTTCTAGTTATCATTTCAAATTTATTTCATTCAAACAAATTCGATTTATTCCTAAAAATTCATTTACACTTAATTAACTAATTAATTTTTTTTTTTCTAACTTTAAAGTAAAAAAAATAATAACTATCATCTTAAACTACATTTTTTTCAGCTAATCAAAAATATTTGGTATTTTTTATCATTCTATATTTTTAGTTATTCAGTTATATTTTGGTTTTTTTTATACTGTAAACTAAAGATTGCTATGGTTTAAAAACTATTTTTATTAGGAGTGTTCGATTTCGCTTTTCTTTGGAGAAAGTGGAAATTTTTAAAATAATTCATGTTTTTATAAAGAAAAATAAATTGTTTTATTTATACAATTTATGTGACAAAAAAAAGTTTTAATGAGTTTTGAACTTTCCAGGAATTGAAAATAGATTTAATTTAATCTATTTCCAATTTCTGGAAAATGGAAAGTATTTAAAAATTAATTGCACAATAATAAACTTATAATATTAGTATCAATTAAATTCGACCTTACTTCCAAACACTTTCCAATCACTTTCCATTTGAAAATCATTATAAAAATATGTTTAATTCTTATCTATTTTATCAATTTCTGACCAACCGGAGCTATTAAGATCTGTTCCAGATTATTAATTTCAAAGGAAAAAAAATTTTAATGTAAAATTAAGAACTACTGTTTGTTAAATGAGTTGGGTTGATTACACAAAGACGTTTATACATAAGTATTTATTAAACTTATAACTATTTGCACACTTAAAGTTAAAAATGGTTTATTGTTAATTTTAAAAATAAATATATTTATTACCGTTGATAAATTAATTTTTTTTTTTAATTATATAATTGATATACATAAATATAAATATAAATAGAATTTAATTATTCATTTAATTTGAAAGAGTTCTTATTATAATCCCAAAAATTATAAAAAAAAGCAACGGCTGGTATTTTAAAAATACAAACGTTTTTTGTTTTTTTTACCATTTCTTTTTTTTAAATAAAATTCAAAATAAATATATTTCAAACGCCAAACAAACTGCAATCATACTTTCTATAATTTATTAGAGTAATAGAATAAAAAAGTAAAACCTTAGTTAAACCATAGTCAGTAGAAGTTATCCCAGGATAATTTCTATTAACTAAGGGATAACTTCTATTAACTATACTTGAATTGTTAAATTTTTTTTGCACTAAGTTTGATCACATGATAACGATATTTTTAAACAATAAGACCATTTTGTCAAAATATTCTATTTCTTGACCAGGGATAAATTCTATAATCAACTATATAAATTATATAATCAACTATTTGTAAAAAAGAAATCTTATTAAATAAAGAAAATTAAAAAAAAGATTGTTTGATTTTTTTTTTGATTTTTTAATGGAAGGTGATTAAAAAGTGTAGGGAAGGAAGGTCAAATTTAATTAATAGTAATACTATAAATTTGATGTTATGTAAAAGTTTAAAGAAAGTGATTCATTTTTAAATACATTCCACTTTCCGGAATTTGGAAATAAATTGAATTCAATTCATTTCTACTTCCCAAAAAGTTAGAAATTTTCAATTTTTTTTTTTTGTCTTCAAACAATAAAGTATAGTTAAATAAACGTTTTCCAATATAAATACAATTAATTTACAAATACTTTCCAAATCAGAGGAAACTACTTTCTGAAATTAGTTAGAAAGAGAAATTGAACACCCCTAATTTTATTCTAGTAATTAAAAATATTTAGTTATTAACTTAATGATTTTCTATTTTTGAAGGTATTTAAATTTTTTATTACTTGCAATACTTGCCAATCAAATTTGATCAGCTAGAAGGTGTAAACCTTGATCAGCTAAGAAGAAGTAAACCTTAGAATAAAAGGAAGTTTTGCTTAAAACGGACCAGAAGGAATAAAAGTTTTCATTCC